AGCCAGAGGTATTAAACAGAATAAGTTGGGTTATGCTGCAATAACAAGGAATCCACCTCATCTTAGTTGCTTAACACAATAAAGGCATTGATGTATGTTTCCTTGCTCACATCATGGTCCAGTGTTGTTTGGGTGGCTCTAAGCTGTACTGTAGCTGCACCTAATGAGACATGTAGTGCCCAAGGCTATGGTGGCAGGAAAAGAGATGAATGGCACATAGTAGCACTTAGTGATATTATATAGACCACTACACAAAACTAGCCACATGGTCCTAAATTAGCTGCATGGGAGACTGGGCAGTGGAGGGTAAAATGTAGATATTTTATATGCCTGGATTGTCTAAGCCATACCAGGACCCTCACTCGAGCCTACACTCTGCCCACAGAGTGATCCCAAAGGGAGACCTTCAGAAAGAAATCACCCTGGACAATGAGGGAATCTAAGAACTGCCAAGGTGGCGCTATGCATACATCCCATTCACCTTAGCCTCTCCTCTTCAGTCTATATCCTGGGTCCCCACCATTGAAACCCCTACTAGACCCTTCTCCCATAGTTCAATGGCCTTCCTCAGCAGTCATGCATGCCTGCCCTGTGGGGTGGCCCCCAATCCTGACCCTGCCTGCTATTACAATCAACCAAATGCCGCACTTGGAACACAGCCCAGGGAAGCGACTGCCACATCTGTCCTTCTGTGTTGTTACTTTGGTTCCAGCCCTGGGAGGCCCTAAGACCAGCTGTGAACTTACATGAGGAATATGACAAGCTACTGGCCAGGTCTCCAAAGGCCACTTGGGATTTGATTTGAGGCCCACACACCCCGTGCTGCTGTTTAATATATGGTGGCTAAGTTCAAGTTCAGAGAGAGGACACAGGAAGCATTCCCACTGTACAAATGTCTTCCAGAACTCCACTGTCCCAACAGAGTTGACACTGGCCACCCTGGCAATTTAAATCTAAGCACAAATTAACTGCAAATAAATTGCCAGTTAGGATGGCTACTACAAAAAGAACAAGTGTTGTGCAGATGTGGAAAAGCCAGAACCTTTGTGCACTGTTGGTGGGAATATAAAATGATGCAGTGTCTGAGGAAATCAGTTTGGTGGTTTCTCAAAACGTCAAACGTAGAATTATCACATGATTCAGCATTTCCACTTTAGGGTATAGACCCCAAAGAATGGAAAAACAGGACCTTGAACAGATATTCATACAGCCATGTCTGCAGCATTACTCACTATAGCCAAAAGGTGGACGCTACCCAACTGTCCATCAGTGGAGGGATGGATAGATAAAATATGGTCCATACATTCAATTTAATATTATTCAGCTTTAAAAAGTAAGGAAATTCTGGCACATGTTCCAACATGGATGTCCTTGAGGATATCATGCTACATGAATAAGCCAGTCAGAAAACAACAAATATGGCAAGATTTCACCTACGTGATGTACCTAAAGTGGTCAAATTCACAGAGACAGAGAGTAGAGCAGTGGTTGCCAGGAGCCGAGGGGAGGAAGAGGAGATGAGTAGTTAGTGTTTAATGGTGCTATGGATTGGACAGGAGGCCCCTCAAAATCTCATGTGTTAGTTAGTCAATGCAGGAATGCTCAGAGATGAAATGATTACATTATGAGCGCTGTAATGTCATCAATGGATTAATCCATTTAATGGATTTATAATGAACGAACTCCAGGATGGTAAGTGTAGGCAGATGGGGTGCACTTGGAAGAAGCAGATCATTGGGGAGCAGGTATGCCCTTGGGGATTATATCTTGTTCCTGGCTCCTTAAGCCTGTCTCCCTTTCTCTCTCTCTGCTTCCTGACTGCCATCACCTGAGCAATTTCCTCTGCCATGCCTTCTGCCATGGTGTTCTGCCTCTCCACAGCAATGGAGTTGGCCCATCATGGACTCAGACCTCTAAACCATGAGCCCCCAATAAACTTTTCCTCTTCTAAGTTATTCTTGTCAGGTATTTTAATCACAGTGACAATAAGCTGACTAACACAAATGGATACAGAGTCTCCGTTCTATAAGATGAAAAGAGCTCTGGGGATGGATGGTGGTGAGAGATGCGCAACACTGTAATGCACTTAACACCACTGAACCTTAAAAATGGTGAAGATGATAATGCCTGTGTGGATATTTTATCACAATCAAAATTTAAAAATTAAAATTATGTTGGAAGCATAATTTAAATTAAATTCAGTTCTTCATTTGTACCAGCCACATTTCAAGTGCTCAAGAGCCAGTGTGGCCAGTGGCTATCACACTGGACAGGGCAGAATGAGAGCACTTCTGTCACGACAGAAAGCTCTTTGAGACAACAATGTTCTACAAGGTTGCCCTTTTCTCAAATAGTCATCCTTCTTCAATGCCCTTCCTCCCTAAGATCACCAAAGGGTCCTGCAGGCTTTAAATCAGCCCCAAGACCATCCAAGGGTCCCACTTGTCTTATATCCTCTCTCTTCCCGGGTGTGCACGCGCTCTCAGTGAGGACACAGGGTATTAATTGTCAGGGCAACGCCATGCTCCCAGCTGATCCGAACCTTATCTCCCTTATCCACACTGTGTTCTTGCTGTGGCAGGTGGAGCTCAGCTCAGAATAGAAAAAACTCTCCCCTGCCCCCCAGAGCCCCAGGCCTCTCTACTATGCCCCTGTTTCTCTGAAGGACTCACTGCTGTGCCTAGGACAAGTACACATTCAATGAACAGTTGCTGAATAAATAAATGCACATCTGTGTGAAACAGAAAAAAGATAAGCTCCTACTCCCATTTCTTAACTTCTTGGATTTAGCTCCAAAAATCCTTTTTTTTTTTGTTCATTATGATAAAGCTCATTTTGATTTAATAATTTTTATATTTCTCATGATCCTCTAAAAACTCTGGCCCATTATCCAAAACAGAGGTCCAGTTGGATCATTGGAATGTGAATAAATACACTGACATTCACTGCAAAAAGAGAAAGTTTTAGACTTCCTCCAACCAGCTCTCTATGACACAAGAACACTCCCTACCAGGGAAAAGGAAGATGTGCTTCATTGTGTCTCAGGAAAAACTCATCCTGGATACCCCCATCTTCAGGCAGAGTCCCTGGTGGACTTCTTAAGAATGGTTCTTTGTGTGCTGTTATTAAATCAAATATTGTTGCTGTCACATTAGCAAAACACATTTTACCTAGAGACTGAAAAACATGTCACCTTATTTACAGACTAAAAAAATACATACATCTCCCTTTCTCATTACATCCTCACTATAATGCCCAAGATGGAAATTACTGGCCCATTTTAAAGATGAAAAAACCAAGGCTTGGAGAACTGAGGCAGCATTTCCAATGACACACCTGGAAAAGGTAGGGCCAAGACTCTATTCCAAGTACAGTCCTTTTTCCCACTGGGTGGGAAGGCAGTAGAATCCCTTGAGGAAGAAGACATATACTGAACACAAAGATTTTGTATCTACCAGTCTTATGGAGTCATGGTGAAGATATCCTAACATATTGCATAATAAGTACCTAGAACAGGCTCACACACAGCCACATACTGGAGCTAATAATTGGAGTAATTATTGTTATTATTATTACATTAAAGGAATTTTTCAAAATTAATATAAGATTAAGGGCACTCTACAAATACAGAGGACTTTAGCACGGCTTTGCAGTTGAGAAGATTGAGGGGTGGTTGTCAATTGCTCATCGAAGGCAGGAGAGGAGGGAGGTGAACACTTGGGCAAAAGTCTCTCCCTCCAAGGTTCAGCTCACTCACGTCCTCCCTGATGCATCTTTCATCAACACCTTGGGGACACTGTGCCAACTGGGTTCCCAAAGGTTCACCACCTGGCCCTAGAAAGCAGAGCTAAGCAGTAGGCCCTGAGAAGAACCCTCTGCCCTTTACTGCCTGCCTGGGCTAGACTTGTATTAGATCTCATTCATGATAACATTTAGGCTACTTTAGAACTCCCCATCCGCCCAGGCTTCCACCCCACCAACCACCAATCACCCTGTTCCGCACCAACACTCTACCCTTTCAACTCCTGTTCAGAGCCACGCCCCATCCTCCCTCCCATCCCTAGTCTCTTAGCAGGGTTCAGAAGAGCCAGCCCCAGTGAGAGGGAGAGCTGAAAAGCTCAACCCAGCTTCCCCAGAGCGTGCAGTTTGAAGTCTGGGTGCCCCATGTCCCCACAGTAGCTCGATCAGCACCAAGCAGAGAGAGCAAAGGTTTCCACACCTGCATACTGATCAACATCTTGTACCTCCTAAAGGACACGAGGCATGGAATGTATGGGGGTGACCCTGTAACCTCAACAATAAACACACAAGAGGCAGGTACTGAGAAGACTTATGTGACACCCCTATTAAATAGCCCAGATTCACAGGAAGAAAGTGATTCCCTCTTTAACCTTCAGTTCTTCTGACTGCTTCAAGGAAGAGCCTCTGATCAGTGTCTGTCTGTCTGTCCTCCTATCTAACACCACTCATCTCCATTTTTGGCAGAAAGTGGGCCAAAGCTCTGTCTTGCGGGCCGGCCAAATGCAGAACTATCTAGCTGGCATTGAATAAGGTCATTTTGGATTTTACCTTAAGATTATTTCTTAGATGAAGTGAGATTTCTTTTTAAAATAATTTTAAATTTTAAAAATGGCAATCATTAATTTTTTTTTTTATAAAAGATACACAAATGATTGGAGTGTGGGAAAAACTGCTTAAGCTTGTAAACAGCCTTGCCAAGTCAGAATCATCCCCACCTGCCGACAAGAAGCCTGAGACGCAGGGAGGTGGATGGGATGCTCAACTTTTCTCACCTGTGGACCCAGAAAGCCTCCCTGTTGAGGATGGCCCTTGCTTTCGGCTTCAAGTGGAAAAAACTTAACAGTCTGGCACAGAAAGTTGAGCGGACTCTTCTACAGGCGCCACCTGCAGTCTTGCCCCGCCCATGATGTCCCCACTCCACGCCCCCAATGTCCTTGCTCTGACTCCGGCCTCGCACTAACCCACCCGGCCCCACTTACGATGTTCATGAGCGTCAGCAGGTACTTCTGCACGTGCTCCTTCCCGTGGAACTGAACCACGGAGTCGTCCACACCCAGCAGGACTTCAATGTTGTAGTCGTCATCGGCAGCGTGTCTTCGCGCCCTCCTCCTGGAGCTGTTGACCTGCTCCTCCAAGATGCCCAGCGCTTGGCTGAGGCTATCCAAGTTGCCCAGGGAGGCCCCTACAGGGATAGGACATTATCATCAGCGGCAGGCCGGGCTCACCGGGAACATCACAGCAGGACGAGACTCCACTGGATGCAGCTCAACTCCAGCCAAGTGCCAGCAACATCATCATCATCCTCCTCAAGGGCATTGTTGCCTCCATTTAGCAGAAGAACAAACTGAGGTCTAGAGAGGGGCTGTAGTGATATGCCAAGCTGGCTCAGACTCAGCCGCACCCAAACCAACCGCCTCAGAGGCTTTAGGGCCAACTCTTTGGCTAGCACCTGGCAGTAACTCCCGCCACAGTGAGGGCCACGGTGTCCTCCTGAGACTGACAGACTGGGGAGCCCAGGGCTGGCACCCAGCATCTGAGGCCAGGAGTGTCGCCTGCACAGCCAGCTCTCTCCACCCACATACACTAACACACTCTCAAAGGGCTGATGTCCCAGGTGTCCCCAACCTCTGTTATAACTGAGGAAACGCAGGCCTCACCCCAGCAGTATGTGTTCTACCGCATTTCCTCCAGCCTGGATCCCCTCCAAGAGCTTTCTGCTCCGTCCTCCACTAAAGGGACCAGGTAGATGTCCCCCACCCCACTCTTCAGTCAGCCCCTGGTGCTCAATGAATTGTGCAGGGAGCAACATGAGCTCCTCATGATAGCTCTCCACAGCAGGCCCTGACCTCCTGCCCCTAAAGAGTTAGCACCAGGCAATGAGCAACAGCCCGGATGGGGGTAAGGGCCTGAGGGGTCTCAGCTACAGAGTCCAGGACCTGGAGCTCCATCAAGTTCAGGGCCTCAGATGGTGTCCCACTGTCTGCAAAGCTGTGGCTTCTGCCTTTGTTCCCATCTACTTCCCCACTGGGTTTAAATGTCACCCTGGACCAGTGCTCCAGTTCTCAGTCCTCCCCTGCCCTCACCTCTTAGGGTCACAGCCAGACTGACGAGGCCAACCATCAGCATTGATGGCAGCTGCAGATCACACTGTATGCTGCCCACTGAGTCCCCGTGGCCCTGTCTTGGAAGCCCTATCCCTTTCACCCCTGCCCTGCAGCACAGGTCTCTGTCCAAGGCAGGTTGTGCTTCTCAGTGACACTCAGTGATTCCTGCCCTGAGAAGAACCAGAGACGCAGGTGACATCATCAACACTGAGGGTGATGTCCAGGTCCTAGCTTTAGCTTGAGTGGGTACCAAGAGCCCTGCTCAGCTGTTGACATCCCTGAAACATTGTCTATAAAGAATCTTCCAGAACAACTTTGTCACTTATTCTTATCGCCTCTTATCTACCACATTCCCCAGACAGGTATGGGCACTTCTTCCATGTCAAGGTGGCACAAGACAGGCTCTGGAGGTGGAACCAGGCCTCTCAAGGGAACTTGGCCACTCAGGGAGATGTGAAGCAGCCTGGTTTGGGGGCCCACTCCCCCAAATTGGCCCCCAGTATTCATCTCCTCAAAGAGTGCAACAGGCATCTTCAGTACAAATTACTGTCCCCATTTGACAGATGAGGAGACTGACAGAACCCCAGCATGGCTGACTCTCTGCCAGAAGCTCTTTCCTTAAACTCTGCTTCCTGCTTCAGACAAGATGAACTGACTTAGTCAGAGGTACGTCTGCAGCTTGGTTGTGGGCGAGACCAAGAATGAAAAGAGAGGAGGTGAGAAGCAAAGGTGCCGGCTTTGACTGGAAAAAGAACAAGTTGGGGCCAGGACTGAGCAGCTGCTGCTTGGGTTCCCATGCCTTCTTGGGTCCTTGGAGTCCCGGCACAATCCACATACATGTGCAGGCACACACCTACATGCACATACACACACATATGTACACAATGCAAACACACACATACATACACACGTTGGTGCTGCCCAGGGCTGTGCCAGGCTCAGGGAAGGGGCTGGGAGCCCTGCAGGCAGTGCCCGTGCAGAGCTCAGTGCTCCACTCAGCTGCCTGGAGATGATTCAGGGCCATCCCTGCTGCTCCCAGAGGAGACGCTGGGGACTTAAACCTGACAGAAGAATTGAGGGATTGCTCCTCTATTTTTATACATTTATTTCTTTGCATTTTCAACGAGCAGGGACAGCTCACCTTCAGAACCACCTTGGGAAACAGAAAGATGGTAATTTCCGTAGAAAAAGTCTTTCCCTGGGGAAGAAGCTGGACATTCCCTTCTGCCCCTATCAAGCTAAGGGTCATGCATGGGCAGCCCCTAGGGGCAAAGCCAGACCACAGAGGTGCTCATTAAGACCATGTGGTATTTTAAAAATATCTTATTGGGGGGAGGGGGGAATGCCTTATTTGGTTGACAGTATTTGAAAACTGGGAGATTTCACATTAAAAACAAGATAGAATATCCAGTTTCTCTTGAGGAATTTGGAGATGAAGCCATCCCAGTGTAACCCAGGGCTGTGAACTGAGGACCATGTCTGCAGATAGGACACATAGGGCCACTTACCTGCCACCCCTGATGACCTCCTGGCTCCAAAAGACCTCAGAGTGTACTCTCCTGATCCTAACTCCTGGGTCACTATATAGTATCCCCTCCAGATATCCCTTAAGGGGGGTAGGGCACAGGGCCACCATCAGGTCAGAGCTGGGCTAAGGCTAGTCTTGAAGCTGCTTCTGTCAAGGAGCATAGTGTCTAACCAAACTGTATGTTATAGGTCTACTCAAAGCAGTGGGTTTTTTTTTTTTTTTAAAAAAAAGATGTTTTAGAAATGCCAAGTTCACCTTAAACATAGTTATTTTTGTCATCATTATTCTCATCATGATCATTTTGGGGGTGCCTTGGACATTATATTATAGAACACTCTCCTTCCCTCTTTCCCCAGCTCCTGTGGACAAGCCCCAAGGCCCAATGGCAAAGCAGGTAAAGACAGAAAGACAGGACCCCTGAGGTCAGCAGGTGAGAGCAGCAGGCAGGTGAGAGCCTTCCCAGGTAGTCTGGTCTCTGGAAGTCTCAGTCTCATTCAGGACACAGGGAGCAGCCCCAAAGTCAGTAAGGTCTGTTGTGCCCCAGGCCTGGGGGTACATGAGCCTGGTCCAGCTGCCTTCCGCTCTTCTCTGTCCCCGTGGGACCTGGTAGTCAAGCTCCCCACAGCAGGCACATTCTGCCTCATCAATCCTGGGTACCACCTCAACTTTCCCCACATGGGCTTGACCCTAAAGCCCAGGATGCCTGTCTTTCACAGGATTCCTGCTTCAGGGAGCTCTGGCCAGCAGCAAGCTTCTGCATGGTCCTGGATCGGCTTCCTAGTGATCCCCTTGACCTTCACGTTGGCCTTTGGAACCAGCCCACGTGTGCTGGGCTGCCTGCCTCATCTAAAGACCTCTGCTAGACTTGTTCCTTCGAGGCCAGGTGGAGCAGACTCTTTGCCACTATCTCTGACTTCCCTGGGAGCTCCCATGAACTTGCAGCCTAGGCCTGCTAAGCCACAGTGACCCAGAGCTCACACGGCCCTTTTCTCCATCCTGCATTACTGGGCCAGCTGAATAGTGAGCTGTCAGTCCTGCCCATCTCCTGCTGAGGCGGGGGATGCTGCTGCCTTCAGTCTCACTTCTCTGTGCAGCTACCTCCAGAAGGAGAAGTCACTGGTCCTGGTAGGCTGAGTCTCTCCTAAGGGAAGGATCTGGCACAGTATCATATCTTTCATTTTATTTATTTTTTTTTAATTTTTTAGTTGTTGATGCCTTTATTTTATTTATTTATATGTGCTGCTGAGAATTGAACCCAGTGCCTCCCACATGCTAGGCAAGTGCTCCACCACTGAGCCACAACCCCAGCCCCAGTATCCTATCTTTCAATTGGGTAACTAAAAAGATGTTTAGTTCCTGGCATTTCCTGTGCTTGGAGACACTTCCAGATGGCAGCTGGGGCTCTGTTTGCTCATGTCTTGGGCAAGAGACACACAGCAGGAGGCATATCCAAGAGCCATCCCCAGTTTTAGAGTTTCTAGAATGGAAAAGAAAGGCTCTGTCAAGGAGCCGATCAACAGACCGTGGAGAAGATGTGTTGAAGAAAAGCAGGGCTCCTGTCCAGGGAAGCCCAAAGCAAGTGCCACCCAGGGGATGAGTGGGTCACGGCTGCCAGGCTAATTTATAGCCCCATACAACTAAGGGTACTGCCTGTCCCCCTGAGCTAGTGGGCTGAGGGCTATATCTGTCAGTATCCTGGGAACCTCAGTGTCCAGGTCTCTGGAGCAAGGGCATATGCATAGCCCTTCACAGTGATGAGACTGTCACCTCCAATAGCCATTTGACTTGCACACTAAGGAGGAGGATCCTTATCATTCTAGTGGTGCTATGGTTAGGATGTGGCTTGTCCCCCAAAGGTTCAGAAACGGGAAGCTTATTCTCAGTAATATTACTGAGATGGTGGAAACCTTAAGGGACTAACTCAAAAGAGGGGGTCAGGTCTCAAGGGACTGGATTAGCTCCCCAGAGAATAGGTTGTTATAAAAGAGTGAGCTTGGACCCTGCTTGTCTCTTGCTTCCTTTCTTGCCATACAGTCTTTCCCACTCACACTTACATGTTCCTGCCATTGTGATGCCAAATGCTATGTTATGACACAGCTAGGGGGAGGTGCCTTGTCAGGATGCCAGCACCATGCTGTTTGAACTTTTCTGCCACCAGAATGGTGAGCAAAATAAACCTCTGATCTTTATGCATTGGCCAGCATCAAGTATTTTGTTACAGCAACATGAAATGGACTAAGATAAGCAGTAAAGAAATAGAAGAATAGAAAGATCAAGTGACTCTCAAACCACAGTGTTAGAAAGGAGGAACCAGGACCTGACCCAGGCCAGAATGAAACATTATTCTTTCCCTCCAAAGAATAATTATTTATATATTTGGGAATAGCAGGACATTGCAATGAGAATGTACTTACCATAGTAAACTATGGGTGTATTTCCCAACATTATTAACATGGCCCAGAGCAGTCCCGACACAAGGGTTGGTTTAGGGGAAATCAAAATTGTTAGAAACAAGATCATTGAGCCTGGAGAAGAGAAAACCTGGGGCTT